ACTCTTTCTTTCTTTCTTTCTTTCTTTCTTTCTGTCTTTCCTTCTTTCTTTCTTTCTTTCCTTCTCTATCGTACACATACGCGAGCGCGCGCGCGCGCGCACACACACCCGCGCATGCATATATGCATACACATGTATACTGAGTCTCTCTCTCTCTCTCTCTCTTTCGTTCTAGGTCTTTCACTAATTCTCTACTCTCACTCATACTATGCACACACGCGTGCACGCACACACACACACACACACACACACACTCTCTCTCTCTCTCTCTCTCACCCGTTCGTCCGAAGGAAAAAGTATATTGTAAGATAGGAAAAAAATCTTTGGTACACCAGGAGTCGGAGTACAAGGCGAATGGATCTTGGAGATCAGGGGTCCGTGACACAATAAAGAAAATAACTGGAAAGGCGAAGGGGGTGACTGATAATAATAAAAAGGCCATTTACGTACCATCATGTCGACTCATTTTCCGTATAGAATATCATATACGCTGGCGTTTCTCGTTGGCGCACAGGGGCTCGTGTGTCGTGGACTGGCGCGCGTTCGTATTAAAAATTCACCTCGAGGCTGGTGATAATCAAAGAGCAGGGGCCGGTACTCCAACCACGCGATTCTTCAATCCTCAGGAACTTCGACAACACGAGACGGACCTTCCTCGCGAGTTTTGTACGGGCTCGTCGTCGCGCGAGACGAAGCGAAAAACATGGGAAAAAACTACGCGTCTGTGTTGGTGTTAGAGCACGAACTAAAGTGTTCGTTTGTAGTGTGTATGACGATATATGCCTTCGCGTATACGTGTTTCTCTGCTGCCGTGTATCCGTGCCCGTGAGTGTGTGTGTGTGTGTCTCTCTCTCTCTCTCTCTCTCTCTCCGTCCGTTCGTCCGTCCCTCGCTCACTCCCTCTCTGTCTCTGTCTTTCTCGCAGGTCGCGCGCGCGCGTGCTCGCGTATGTTTGTGTATAGCACGTACGTGCGTACGTACGAGCGCGCTCGTGCACGGCTCTTCTTTCTTTCTTTCTCTCTCTCTCTCTCTCTCTCTCTCTCTCTCTCTCTCTCTTTCTTCTTACTATCTCCGTTTGGTACTTCAGCGCGTATAGCTGCGTGCGTGCTTGCGTGCTTGCGTGCGTGCCTGCTTGCGTTCGTTCGTTCGTTCGTTCGTCGTGCTTGCCTCTGCCTGCCTACTGCCTACTGCCTACTGCCTACTGCCTGTCTGCCTGCCTGTCTGTCTGCCTGCCTGCCTGCCTGCCTGCCTGCCTGCCCGCCTGCCTGCCTGCCTTGCAACGATACGAGTTTCTTAGTGTGTATGCGTGCGGGCGGACCGCCCGTGTACGTAAGCTCGTACGTCCCGACCCCGTAGGCGCGCGTGTGAGTAGTGCTCGCGCTCCGTCTTTCTCGCACGCTCGTCCGATTCCGATGCTATATTCGCATCCGCTGTATATTAATGGTCTCCGCCTCGCTACGAACTAGTCGCACTGTGGAGGCCAACTAGAGACCAGCAGCGGCGGTGACGAGCAGCTTGCGCGACGAACGGTAACGACGGCGGTGGCGGTGGCAGTGGCGGTGGCAGTGGCAGTGGCGGTGGCGGTGGCGGTGGCGGTGGCAGTGGCGGCGACGGCAGCACACTCTTTTAATCCCTCTCCTGGATGGGCGACGCGGCAGCGCGGACACCACCTCCTCGGGAAGACAGGATACACGCGCGTCCGGAGGATCTGCAACTTATGGCGGTGGGAGCGCGGGGTCGCGAGTACGGGGGCAGAGGGTCGCGATTGCCACACGGCTGCCGCGAGGAAGGCAGGATTTTCTTTTTCTCGTCGATTATTGCGCTCCTTCCTCGACTAGCGGATCTTCCTTGAGCGACGAGGCGAGGGGAATGAGCGAGCGCGATAAAGGGCGGAGGGAGGCAGGGGGCCTTCAACAGGAGGAAGAAAGATAACCTCCTCACGACATAGAGAGAAACGTCGCTAACACGTCATTCTAGATTGGGCGACTTTTATTTTTTTTTTTTTTCTTCCTCTTTTTTGTTCTTTTTTTTTTCTTTTCTTTTCTTTTCTTCTCTTCTTTTCTTGAAACTCGGACCCGTCGTTTCAACTTTTAAAAGGCACCGCAAATTTTCAATACATTATTAGCGTTTTTACACAAATTTTACGGACGACTGGATTAGGTTTATTGTTGGCTGGATAAGTGGCCGCAAACCGCGAGTGTATCGAGTTTATTGAGAATTGGTTAGGCGAGATGCCAGAAAACTCTGCCTTGTCGATCGAGGCCGAACTGCACGAACGCGAAATTTTCAAATCATTCTATATGATTTTTGACGTTATGTACGTTGATACAACACTGCCCAATAGCCGATAATAAAAGAAATACAGTGAAATAGGCATGAAAATTGAATGAAAATGCCCCATTTGTGTCTGAACATTTTAAATAATTCAATTAATTATTCTTCTTCTTTTTTTCATTCGATTTTTTTTTTTTTTTTTTTTTTTATATTTATTATTCATATTTTTTATGTGCGCGACTTTTAATGATTGGAAATACTCCTCGTTGGATAATGATATCCTTCGAAAATACCTTAAATATTTAGTAAATATAAATAATTGAAGTTGAAACGAAGCATCGAGATATTCTGGAGCATTCGAATTTGTCGAATGTATCAGCGGAGTATCGAATTGGGGCAGCATGGAAGTTGAAATGGAGTGTTGGATTATTGAAACGAACCAACGACCAATGAATATTCGAATATTTTTCCTTCAATGCCGGCGATACATGCAATTATGCAACCTACCATACCGATCGCTCATATTTAAACGATGAATCTGCCGCTAGTAACGATAAAATTGTGCTATTTATAATGAATAAACGTCGTCTTCAAGGTATAACAGAATGACGTCCACGTTCGTGAAATTCTCGAAAATGTTTAATTTCGAGAATGATGAACGAGTGAATATCTCGCCCAACTCCCTCGAATCCCTTCAAAACCCTCGAATCCCTTCAAACCCCTTCAAACCCCTCAGCAACAGGATGCATTGAATTCGTGATTTGTTTGCAGCTCGATGAAATATCAGGGACTAAAGACTCTCGCTGTCTCGTCGTAACGGTTACGTGGATCATGCGCATTATTATAAATAACATCGAATCACAGTCACCGGCACCTAGAGCAATTATCGTAAAGACATTTTCAGCTCCCGAATAATTAACGATGATTATGCGCTTATTCCTTACGGAAGCTCGGGCCAGGTAGGCCTTGCAAGGCAATTAGCTTAATCGTTCGCTCGGACATCATCGTCTGGTCTACAATTTCAGTACATCGAGACCATCAGCTGAAATATCGGATAATGTCGTTGGCTACTTTCGCGAGTTTTCAACGGATATGTTAGCGCTGGTATGCGTTTTCAAATGGCATTCCTTCGTCGCTACGTTGTCAACGCATGACCAACAGTGATGAAATTGAGTTACTAAAGCGAAATAATGAAAAGCAACAAATGAGCGAATAATTGGATAAAAATTAATATTCATATCGCTTAACTCGTGAATAAAATATATAAGTTTGGTTTAGCGACGTGGGTTGGCGCGGCGCGGAGCAACAGCGGATGGAGGGGAGGATAGACGATACACAGGTCGCATATAGAATTAACAGTTTTTAAACGGTATTTTACACGTAAAAAAAGGAAACTCAGCGTTTCATTCTCGAAGGTCTTAAAGAGGCTTGAATGAATTAGCGTTTGAAACTACGATTGTCGTAATCCTATGCTTTGCTTGTTAATCCTATTAACTTCCATTAGCGAGCGCTTATTATTTATTAATAATTAAAAAAAAAAGAAAAAAAATAATAATAATAATGATCTCGCATTATGTAAAATTCAAGTACCGATAACGCTTATCCAATTAATTGTAATCTCACACTGTTGAAGTTTTTCCACTCTCTCTCTCTCTCTCTCTCTCTCTCTCTCTCTCTATCTATCTATCTATCTATCTATCTCTCTTTTACCTTTCGATAAATACATCTGGATTCTCTTGGAGCTAAAAGCTTCCGATGATTTGCGTAACGAGTATTGATTTTGTACATACGAGTCGCGCGTTTATTAAAACGAAAAATCTTAAGCGCAGTAACAAAGTACGAAAATTAGTTCTGCATCGGAGTCTTACGATATCTTAAATGTCGTGCAAACCATTACCGCCCGCAATTACCGTCTTCGATACGCAAATGAATAAGCATCTAACGTCGAGACTTATTATCGTCCTTACTTTCTATTGCAAATGAATGAGGCATGCGACTGACTGCATGTGCCGCAGACTGAAAATTCAAATGCATACGGCCACGACAAGGTCATTGGAGTCGGAGGGGGAGGGGGAGAGTCGTCGAAGGGAACCTAAGAAGGCTCCCGCCGACAAACTGTCTGCGCCGAAAATAATTCGTCTGCCCGAGTGAGAGGGCCGTCACGTAACCACGTAACCACGTAACGACCATCCATCCAATCGGTAAAGCAGACCGACGATGGGAGGGCGAGCGACCGAGGACGATGAGCGGACGATAGCGGCGCACCACCCCACTGCATCCCGACATCGTGAGGGCCGAGCCGATGGAGTTGATTCTCTCGGATCGGCCGATAATGCGTGACCCGGCGCATCTCGCACGAGCGGCATTACGACCATGAGACAACAGGGGCACGCACGATTAGCCCGTCCGCGGCTCGTAGCGAGCAGCTCATTAAGGCTCGCGTGACGTCCGCCGTCCCGTTGGGAAAAGAAAAAAGAAAAAAGAAAAAAGAAAAAGAGAAAAAAAAAAAAAGCGTGTCAGAGAGCGGCCCTCGTCTCCAGGGGCGGCGTCGACGGGAACTCCAACGTGAAAAAGATAAAAGGACGGGCCCGAGTCTCGCGCGGCTGTCCCACTCCTCGGCACGGTGCTGTCATCTATTCAAAACACGGAGCGCGTAGCCGCTCCCGCACGAGGCGCGCGCCACCGACGCGACATACGAGGGCACTCCCCCGCCGCGTAACGGGTGGCGTCTCGCGTGTGCGCGACTATCGGCTCGGCTCGGGATTAGGTCGCGGCGAGCTCGGCTCTCGGAGCCATCTCTCAGGGTACGCTCGCTCAGCTCGCGGCAAGTCGAGAAGGTGCGCGTACATGTGCCGCGTCGCCGAGCGTCCGTGCGCGAGTCTTCATCTCCGGGAGGCGCCGCCACCACCTCCGCCGCCGCCGGCTGGCCAGGAAGCGGCTCCCTCGACGAGCCTACGCCCGAGGTTCGCGGGAGCGGTCCGACTAGTCCGCCCAGCCGCCAGCGGGGAGGAGGAAGAAGGTGACGAGGAAGAGGAAGAGGAAGAGGAAGAGGAAGAGGAAGAGGAAGAGAAAGAGGAAAAGGAAAAGGAGGAGGAGGAGGAGGAGGAGGAGGAGGAGCAAGAGCAAGAGCAAGAAGAGAAACACGAGGGACACGAGGCGAAGCCCGGATAGCGCGATGCTTGCGATGCTTGAGCTCGCGCGTAACGCCTCCAGGGCCTTCTGGACGCCAGACGTCTGGCTGCCACCGAACGTCACCTGGGACGATGTAGCACCAACGCCACGCAACAACTACGCCGATTACCGGCACTTGTTTTATCCCCTGCCGATGGCCTTGGTGCTCCTCGTCATACGATACGCCCTCGAGAGGTAGGCACCACGCACACTACGCACAACCGCGCCTTATAATCCTCCCAGCCCTCCACCCTATCCCATTTTATCCCCTCGAACATCTTTCCCTCCTCCTTCTCGCCAACTCCAATATTCCATTTTATCGCCCTCGTTTTTTTACATCTTTTTCTTTCTTTTTCTTTTTTTTTTTTTTTCTTCCCTGGACTTTATGGCGTCCCACGGGCTACTCGTCTTTTTCGAGGTTAGGTTTCCCATATGCTTTTATCTGGACTCGCGAAGCGTCGTGGATGAACGAACGATTGCAAGGAAAGATAGGCGAAAGAGGAGTAACGCCAGGATCCTTAAAAGGAATCGTTGCAAGAAAATGTTGTGAAATGCTCTCGCGAGCATTCGCGATCATACCGTTTGTTTTCCCTGTTACCTTATAAATCGCATTTTTCCTTCTCTTTCCCGAGCCCCGCGGACATCACATCCAAAATTTCGAACGAGCCAATACTTTTCCTCCCCCCCCCCCTTTTAGCCGGTTTTGTCATTTGTTGACAGTTGGCGGTTGGGTGGTTAGCGGTGACATTTTTCGTTAATCTCACTCGCTCTCTCTCTCTCTCTCTCTCTCTCTCTCTCTCTCTCTCTCCCGGAATTTTTATTTTTTATTATTTTAACATTACGTCCGACTTTTGTCGAATACCTCCTCTCTCGCGTCACAATGATAGCAACCACACCACGTAGGCTTATGCGAATAATTCCCATGACATATTCGTCATGAATCATCGTGTCAATAGCTCATTACATTATCGTGCCTTTTCTACCACAATAAGCGCGCATCTAGCTTAAACAACATTCCAACATATCGAATTTCTTAATGGCACGAATATCCACAGGAGTATTGACGACAGATAAGTCCTATACATGATTTATGACTAACGGATAAACGAGAAGAAGCCCAAGCGAGTTGTTCACACCGTGTGTGGACGAAATAGGCATTTCGTACGCTTTACACGTTCCTGATTCGAATATCCAAGTGTGCCCGCGAATGGGCGTATTCGTTACAATTCTAATGTATTTGGTAACATAAGCACATTAACGAGCTCATGTCACGGCAATATATAGTAGTAGACTTTTTAATCCGACCGACTTCTCATACGAGAAACGTGCTCTCTTACGCGCGCCTGCTGCGTGTGCATATATTGTGTGTGCGCGTGTGCGTGCGTGTCTGCGCGCGCGCGCGCGCGACCGCGGTGCATACGACGGAATGCTTCTTCGTATGCATCGTTCGCCATGAAATATCACCATTGACCAATGACCCTTTCATATACAATTTATAGCCCCCGTATACGCACACGCACGCACACATAATATATATTTATGGTCGCAAGTCCAAAGTGTATAAGCAACTCTACTACATGCCGCCAATTTCTTTATCTAAATTAATTACATTCTTATTCATAGACTGCTTTAGTTGGAGGTGCATCGATCAATGATTAGTAATAATAAAGCATTGCAATTTAAGCAGTAAAAATCTCGGGACAAATGGCTCGCCTACCATAAACCGTGTGATTCACCTTCAACAGAATAAAATTCGTATCAATGATTTAAACCTCTATTCCTCTATTCCCAATTGACTAAAAAATTATAAATTTCAAAGCAATCGATCGTTTGTCTCTCTACTATATTGTTTGGAAAATAATGTTCCCGATTGATAATGGCAAATAGCGTATTGACGTATTGAAAACGTATTGAAAAATATGAGAAATAACGCTTAATTTTATGAATTGACAAATGTTGATGTTAAGAGAAACGAATTATGAAATGCAGTCAAAGTTCGTGAGATAACGTATGATATATGATTGACACATATTTTTCGTGAATTATAAATTACAAATACAAATTGGATAAGATTTCCTTTTATAAAAATATAATTATGGCAAGTCGATTATGAAGTCGACGTAAACGTCATTTAAATGGAACATACATGTAACTTGGTAATTTATTTATTTAACAGATTTTTATAAGCCTTATCCTTGCGTCTTTATTTATACACTCGAGTGCGCGTGATATATAGTAAACTTGGAGTTTTTTTTTATCTATCAAAGTACATATATTCCGATTTGTCGGGCATTCCCTTTTATTCAATACTATTATTAATCTTATATTTTGTTTTGTTTTTGTATTCTTTCGTTTCTTTAACATTTGATATGTCGATATTACGAGCTGATTAAAACTAAAATTGATTAAAAATGACATTTAACTTTTAATTTTTTACAAATCGTGTTTTTTTTTTTTTATTATTATTCTTTTTATTTTTATTTTTTTTTTTATTTTTTTTTTTTTTTTTTTTTTTTTTTTTTTTATTATCAAAGATTGATATATCCAACTTTATTGAATAAATGTTCCAATATACGCTGCGCTTATTTACAAACATCTATTCATTAAACGATAATTGTTATAGTTATTTGTGAATTCAATTTTAAACAACGCTTTAAGCAATTAAACGAGGCTGTCGAGTTGTAAAAATAAATTAAATTGATGAATGGCGTATGATTGATGAATGTTCGAATACTTGATCGATCTATGCTCATAAAAATAACGATTATTTTCAGGTTCTGCTTCGCACCACTTGGAAAAAGTTTAGGCATTAAGACATCACGAGCGAAGAAGGCAACTCCTAATCCTATATTGGATAAAGCCTATGGTGGCAAGAAGATTAAACAAAAACAGGTACATAAAATTACCATACGTAAGAATAAAAATTGAATTTTACAAAGAAAACCAATTGTTTATGGTTGGCAATTTAATTTAATTTAATTTAATTTAATTTAATTTTTTTTTTTGGTTTTTTTGTTTTTTTTTTTTAATCCATTTGTAATGCTTTGTAATGTCCAATTTTGTATCATAGCTTGTTAATGTGTTTGCTAAGCTATGAAATTTTAACACTCTCGTAATTACCTACTGGAAATATGAATTGCAGATTATATCGCTCGCTAAGCAATTGGACTGGAGCGAAAGACAAGTAGAACGCTGGTTGAGATTGAGACGTGCTCAGGATAGACCCTCGACACTGACAAAGTTTTGTGAAAACAGCTGGCGATGTTTGTATTATACATACTCTTTCCTCTTTGGTGTATTTATTCTGTGGAACAAACCATGGCTGTGGAATATCAACAATTGTTATTACAATTATCCTTATCACCCAATAAGTTCCGAAGTATGGTGGTATTATATGATATCGATGGCATTTTATTGGTCGCTAAGCCTTTCTCAATATTTTGATGTTAAGCGGAAAGATTTTTGGCAAATGTTTGTACACCATATAGCGACTATCGTTCTCATGTGCTTTTCCTGGATTGGTAATCTAACAAGGATCGGCTCTCTTGTACTTCTAGTTCACGATTGTGCGGATATTTTTCTAGAGGTATACAGCCGCATATCTACAAGCTTCCTTTTAAAGCACCTGAGATTTACTTTATTCTAAAAATAAGAAATAAAATAAAATAAAAAAAAAAAAATAAAAAAAAAAGTAAATTTATACACAGAATCTCTTGTTTTTTAATGAAGTAATACAATCTATAATAACTGGCCCATCTTTGTCGCATTTATGTCTCATGAAAATTTTTTATTTAGGCAGCAAAAATAGCAAAATATTCAAACTATCAAAAAATTTGTGACTTTATTTTTGTAATCTTTACGATATTGTGGATCGTCACAAGAATGGGCGTTTTCCCATTTTGGATCATCTACAGGTATTTATTGAAATTATTTATTACATATTTGTCTGACTTTTAACGACTATTGAGGCTGAACTGTTTGAAAATTTTAACTCCTACCAACTTTGTCTAGCACCTTGATCGAAGCACCAAAGATAGTGCCGATGTTTCCAGCATATTACATTTTTAATTCTCTGTTGAGTCTATTACTGATACTTCACGCCTTCTGGACTTGGCTTATTTTAAAAATAGCTTACAATGCATTTTATGCTGGCCAGGTAATTGTCATAATAAACAATAATGACGAATGAAGCGACAAATTCGATAATTTTCATATACGTTTTAACGATTTTCTGTTTCTACTTTGATTTCTCTTGTGATAGATGGAAGGCGATATTCGTAGTGATAGTAGCGAAGAAATTTCCGAAGAGCTCAATGGAGCAACAACAAACAATGTTAACCACACCAGTAAGCCTAATGTAAGGCAAAAACAAAACTAGTGTAAGTAATTTATCGTCGTCGAAGCGAATGGGAAAAAGTATTACACCGATTAAGAGTGGATGTGTTGCTTTTGGCATTTGAGTGACGAAAAATATGGACTAAAATATAAAGATTAAAATTTTGTAATTAAAGCAATTAGAAATTATTTAGCTCGTGTGAATTAAAAACCGTCTGGTTTTCGGTTGGATGTGACACAGATCTTCAGTCGATTCTCATCTTATTTTCTACGGCCGATGAGCACTTTTATACGAAAGTAGCGAAAGATTTCGTGCAGTTGTGGCTTGTTTATAAGATTGTCATTACCGAATAGTGAAATGTTCAATTGTTGCGAAATGTATATGTTGTTTTCACTGTATCTTATAATATTTTATGAACACATCTTTATTTGTCATAATCAATATTAATGTTTTTTTTTTTTTTTTTCTTTTTTTCTTTTTTTGTCTTTTCTATCTACGCACCTATTTCATAGAAAGAAAAAAAACAAAAAGCAAAAAAAAAAAAAAAATAATAAAAATAAGAAGAAGGATTATTCCACAAAGTATTGTGACGTCTATGTATGAATATAAGAAATTGTATATGTTACTTAAATGGAGTTTGCTTTTTTTTATTTGCAATTCTCTTTCGATTAATTATTTTTTTTTTCTCTTTTCTTTTTTGTATAAAATGAAAATGTCTTACGAACAGTTATTACAAATAATGTAATGAAGAGGATTTGCCTTTTGAATGAAAAATTCACTCCCAAAGAACATCCAAATGATCATTTGCTAGTTTTTAGAAATGACTTGAATAAATAATTTTGTTCGAATTAATTCTTTATTTCTCTTATCCTTGATGTTAAAACATTCCTTAATTAACATAGCAATAACAATTTAGAGTCTACGTTGAGAAAGTAAGTTGCACAACTGCTGTGAAATGTAATTTGTATTATCAGCAAAAGTTATATATTACATGGTTTTACAAATACGTAAAAAAGACAACAAAAGCTTATGGGTTAGGATTAGCATTCGGACCACGTCGACGACCGTATGTTTGCACGACATTGACGAATCTACGATTATACTGGATTCGCCTCTTGGCACGTCCAGTCTTCTTCTTGTTCTTCTCTTGCTTGTCAACCTATAGACATTAATTTCATTTATTTATCTAATAAACATACACGCGTATACATTTAAATGACAAAAGCTATGAATTTTAATAAGCGAAGCTTTTGTAACGAATGAATGAAAAGTAGAGTTTATTAAATCAATTCTACTTCACTTTAGTCCGTCTTTTCTCTCTCGCACTGTTATTTTACTGCATATTCCATTTAAATTGCAGTTTAGATCAAACAGTGCATTAGAAATGAAAAATAACTGATTTATTTATTATTACACTACAAAGCTATTAATTTTTATAAGGTATAAGAGCTTGCTGTTTGAAATTACACATTATTTACATTGACTAACTTGAAATTGATTTAAAAATTTACCTTGGGTGTTTGTCCTTTGACTTTACCAGCACGTGCCAAGGATCCATGGACCTTACCTATTGAGATTAAATTTACGTAAATATAAGGTAAATAGATAAATTTTATTATTCGTACTATTCCGAGGATGAAAAGCTTACCTCCCAAAAGTGGGACTGATAAGTCGATGGTCTGCGTTGGCAGTTCGCTGACAAGAACTCCATCGGTCAATGGCACACCGGCACAAAATAAATGGAATTCGACATCTTGAAATTCTGAAAGTTTTGACTGTAAAATAATAATAATAATGATTGTCAATATTAAATATTTAAGAAAATAAAGCAATTATAATTAAGGATTATCATATTTTATTGAAAATCTGTAAAAAGATAAAAGTTTGATATTTACTTTTATCGCACTGCAATTTTCATTTGCTCTAGCATTGTTGCTCTTTCCAACAAAGTAATTAATACAATTATTGGATTATCATATAATGCATTGTACGTGCAAATTATAATTATTCATTGTTTAAGCTACATAGGCACTTGTGTATGGTCATAACCAGCGATTAAACATAACCCGTATTATTCATATTTAATTATAATTTTGTTACATTCAAAAAGAATTATATCGGATGCATAAATGAATGGTAAAATTATCAATTATAGACTTTATTATAATTAGATTGGCGGGTGCCTTTCATATTAAACGACATTAAATTTTGCAATTTTTAAAAAAATTTTGGTAGTTTTTTAATTTTTTGGCATTGTGGAAAAAGAAAATTTTCCATCATTTTTCTTATGGTCAGGTTATGGCACGAAATAATTATTAAGAACAAGTATCAAATATATAATTCTCCTCAAATATTGTTAAATCGACATGGAAGAATTAAAGAGAAATCTAACCTTAATAATCGCAATAGTGTCATCATTTTGACACTCGATAATATGAGTTTCCTGACCACGAATAATAAGCTGCATGTTTGCCGTCTTGCCTAGAAAAACCATTAAACAAATTAAATATCTCCTTACATTTATAAATAATCAATTATCATATGAAAAATAAATTGTCAGTCACGTGCGTATAATACACCTTTAATGATTATTTTAATCAATATACGTAATAACTAATCGTAACTACCTACTCGAATAAACTATTAATATTTATTTGTCGCAGTTTCATTGAATTACTTGAAAGAAATGTTGAGAAAACGATCATTTATAGAATTTTATAAAAACACTTACCTATATTGCGTGGCTTGTAACGCTAGAAAAGGTTGAGAACCGGAAACATCACATACTGCGTAAGTCAAAGATAAACGAAAAACCCGCAAAACTGTATGACATAAATTAATCTTAAAAAAAATTTTATTTGCAATCTATTATCTAATTTGGTAAATTTAAGGATACTACTTCTGAAGTTATGTAACAAAAAAAAAAAAAAAAAATAATAAAAAAAATAAATAAATAAATAATAATAATAATAATAATAATAAAAAATGTTTATGCTATTGAAACAAAATCAAATTGCTAAATGTAATATTAAATTAAATAAGTCGGGATAAACATATTTTACCACCAATTTGTAATTATAATAAATATTCGAATAAAACAATCCAAATTATGAATAAAAAATTGAATATTATTATATTAGATAAATGAACATGTAGAGTATAAATTGCAATCTTTATGTATCGTTAATTTATTATTATTATTATTATGTATTCATTTAAATAGCTTGTTGGATCGTTGGAGATTTATTTAATTGCTTGAAAATTGCATATACCATAAATGACAAAGATATTGAGAGGTTGGAACTTTATGTAATAATGAGAATTATCTAATTAAAAAATATCAATAAGGAATATTTATTCCGTTTCTAGTATCATTCAATAAGAAAAAAATTGCGTGCGCCTATCAGCAATAAAAGTTAGTTGAATTTCCAAATCAGACGAAAGGATATGCGTATATATATATATATATATATATATATATATATATATATATACCTTGGTGAATTAATTCAACGTCCATCGTCCATATGGAATGAGATAATGACAAAATCCATCCTATTCGCTCAATGACATTACCGCGATGAACAAATCGCTCGTTCAAATCGGTCGATTAGCTGGCGATCGAGCAGACCAATACATATGCCGAGTTAACGTGATTTAATTTAATTCGAAGTCAGCAGCCGGAAGGCAGACACTCCCGTTCCCGTAAATTGCATAATATTCGAGTCGGCGGTGAGTCCTCGCTTTTTTATAATCTAAATCGAAAACGATTTTCCTTCGTTTCTCTTCGCTCATTGATCCAGTAAGGCCGCAGCCTCCTTTCCGAATCCCCGAATTCCTATCAGTTTCATACTACATCCGAGTTTCGTTCTACACTCTGCCGTGAGAAAAGTGAGAAAAATAACAACGAGTTTATTAATGGGACGGACGTAGAGTTTTTAGCCCTCGACGGTTTCGGATTCGAATTACCCTCCACATTTTCAACAAGTACAATAAAATCTCGACATCTCTTTATTCGACATCTCTCCCCCACGACTGTTGTGTCTATGCAACGTAATGGGGCGTCCAATGTACCCTTAAAAAACTCTAGTAAATTAAAATTCGGTTCGTTCGCGCCTGCATGCGCTGTGCGCGGAAGCAGTGCCCCTGTGCTTTTCTATACTTTATGCCCGTGTAACTTTTGTTTTTGTTGTTATTGTTGCCGTTGCCGTTACCGTAGCCGTAGTCGTAGCCGTAGCCGTAGCCGTAGCCGTAGCCGTAGCCGTAGCCGTAGCCGTAGCCGTAGGCCGTTGCTGTTTGTTGTCCTTCGTCGACACAAACAATTCATCCAAATTTGCAATAAATTACGAAAGAGTAAACTCGGCATTATGCCGTCATTTACGCTTTCTTAATATCTATCGTTTATACATAACCTCAAAGTCAAATGCAAGGGAAAGCTGTAAGTCTTGGCAATCTGTTGGTGATAAAAGAAAATTATTAATACCCACCTACCCATTCGAGTTCGTCCCATTGTTTTCTCATTTCCATACATCAGCCATTGCCCCCGAATAAATGTAACCTCGTTAATCGTCACTTAGGACATCCACAACTGCATCGAATAAATTTAACGAGGATGAGTAGCTTCGATACCAGCAGTACGGATTTCGTAAATGTAACGATAACGAGCTCCAATAATGAAGACTACTCGGTGGAGAGGAGATTCAAAAGGAACATCACTATAGAGGAATTTAAGAATAAATTGGAACTATTGATTGGCTGCCGATCCAATGCAATGAATTTAGAAGTTTATAATAAAAATGACGACATTGTGTGCAAGCCCAACGACATAAGTAATTACTTGGGCTCCTATCCAATCGATAATGGCATGAGAGTGCACGTTACTGCCAATGATAAGGAAGAGATCCAAGATCCCTCGACTGTACAAAAATTTGAACTCTCGGACGATACTTATGCAAAAATGCCTTCCACCGTCAAGGCATTCTTAAAGGAGAACAAGTTGGGCAAATACGACGAAGATAAAGTGAGAAAAATGGAGGAAAATAGAGTGCTCGAATTGGAGAATGACAAAAAATTGATTAGTTGTATGAAAGTGAACGACAGGTGCGAAGTGACCATACCTGGTAATCCAAAGAGAAAAGCGACCATAATGTACGTTGGACAGACTGAATTCAAGCCCGGCTACTGGGTTGGTGTAAAGTACGACGAGCCGCTTGGCAAAAATAATGGATCGGTCGCTGGTGTACAATACTTTGATTGCTACGATAAATATGGAGGATTTGTTAAGCCGTCGTGCATTGTTTTGGGTGACTTTCCAGAAGACGATTACGATTTAAATGAATTGTAACTAATGTGCAAAGAACAGAAAATTTTAAATACGTTAAAAAGTAGTTGGTAAGGATATTCACTCATAACTTACATATTTCTCTAGACGATTATTAATTTCAATCTAATACATGCGTCCTTGATACATTAATGCCCCCAGTGCTATTAATTGTACAATTTTTAATTCCGAGCCTCTTATACCACAATTATATCTACGATACAATCTCCTCTCCATCCTTATACAAAAATTTACCCAAACAATAAACATGTACTTAAAATTAAAATTAAAGGCATCCATTGTTAACAATCTTTATATTATATTTTATTTCAAATAAAATTTCACAACGATTATTTAAACAAAACTTATTTTACCTTCATTTAATTCTGATGTTCTAATGGGATATTTTGACTGAAATTACATTTGTCCATTGCAAGCGCATAAATGCAAATTTCAATGAATCTTGCATTCTTAATAATAAAATCATTTATCTCTTATTATGCAAAGTAATATATTATTACATATGAAATTAATGTAACTTAACAAACACATAGGTCGTCCACATTTATAAATTGATGGCCCTGAAAAGGGCCGATTTGTCGATGGAGAGATGGTGAAATTGCGAATTTTTTTTTGTTTTTGTTTGTTTGTTTGTTTGTTTTTATTTTTTGATTTTTATTTCTACTGTGATATTTAGCCGCCAAAACCGTAGAGGGTGCGTCCCTGTCTCTTGAGGGCGTAGACGACGTCCATGGCAGTGACCGTCTTCCTCTTGGCGTGTTCGGTGTAGGTGACGGCGTCACGAATGACGTTCTCAAGGAAGACCTTGAGCACACCACGCGTCTCCTCGTAGATGAGACCGGAGATACGTTTCACTCCTCCACGTCGAGCGAGACGGCGAATGGCGGGCTTCGTGATACCCTGGATGTTGTCTCGCAATACCTTGCGATGCCGTTTAGCTCCTCCCTTTCCCAATCCCTTTCCTCCCTTACCACGGCCGGTCATGTTTCTCTTTGAAACTCAAGTACGCTTAAGCAAACAAAAAAACCGAGACTGATGAAGTACGAATTCTCTAGCTCCTTTTATACCTTTAATAACGCTTCTATCCCCTCCCACAGACCTTCGGCCAATCAAAAGACACTACCTACTACTGAATATTTCCGTTTTTATACCACTATTTCCTCTATAAGGCTCCATATAATTTATAATAATTACAGGGAATTATTTATTTATTAAAGCTGATTATTATTACTCGACTGAGCAAAGCTTATTTCAATCATTTATTTAGCATAACTGTTATTCCTATTATAATATTAGCAAATGCTATTTCACATAATCATATGTTTATTGTCGATTTCTACGATATTTGTTTATAATTGCATATTATTATTAATAATAAAATTGGGGCGAAATAACGAAATGACGATAAATTGTCCATAATTTTATTAGGATTTCATCATGACGTATTCAACGAAGTAAATCTAACCTTAAAAGAAATGTCCTTAAAATCATGATTATCGTTATTTGGACGCCCATAACTTTCAAACAATAATCATTCGATAATTATTTATTACAAATAAATTGCATTAATCGTAACGTAATTAGGCTATTTTCGATGATTACACGTTATGTAGAATGACGGATGAATAATTGTTTTTAATAAGTAATTCGACTCGTATTAAAATATAAAGTTTAATATAATTTTGGAAATTTAATTATATAGTGGTGGAAAAATATCATATAAAAACCTATTTATTATATCTTTCATTTGTTCATAATTTAATAAAGTCAAATCTCATAAATAATTAAAATTATGATTTTATGTTATTGAATGTAAAATATATTTAATCGAATGTAATAAGCATCGTTTGTATAAAATTTATAATACCTTTATATAATAAAAATTCATTTCCATTTTCATCCAATTTATTAAAAATTTTAATTAAAAAGTTTATTATTCAGTATCGTTCCAAAAAAAAAAAAAAACAAAAAAAAAACAAAAAAGAAAACAAAAAAGAAAACAAAAAAAAAATTTTTTAAATGTGCTGAACGTGCCCGGGTTTTTTTTAGAATTATTTAAATTCTTCCATAAAATATCGGGAACTTAATGGTTTTTAAAAATATTTAAAATTGATAATATTTCCACGACATTGAATTATATTGTTAAATATATTATTATTATTATTATTATTATTATTATTACACTCGTTATAACTAAGCGATTTTGTATGAAAATAAAAGCTTTCGTAAATAATCGAATTATAGTCGGAATAGAACAAATTTTTCATTATTTTCGTTAGAGAACGATATATTTAATAATTACGGTTAAAATAAGACAATTATAAGTATAACAAATGTATAATCGTTTTGATTCATAGGAATTTTAATATATTCGCACTTATGAATATATTTCTACGAATTTAGTGTTTTGTTCTTATATTGCAATATCTCATTAAACTTTGAAAATTTGACGATCTATTTGAAATAAAATAATGAACAATCGAAAGACATATTGTGATAAATTATATCTTTATTACGTAGTTTTAATAACAGATCTCGATTTAGAATATAAATCACCGTTAATGTAACATCCATGAAAATTTAGGCCAAACATATCACCACATTCAAATTCTTTAAAAATTTATACAAACACTATTTATTTACAATATAAATTAAATTATACGAACGCACAAACACACAAACGCACACCCACAAAACAATAAGATTGAAAAGTAACAATCTACTTAAATTAAATTGTTGCAGTCGTTCATTGGATCACTAGGCAGGCATTCAATATTTTTTCAACCTTATTCATGCATTAAATTATCATTTTAAATGAGCAAGATGACGCTTATAAATTATAATAGCGCGCTTGGAGTATATTGAAAGAAATTTCGCAATTGTACATACAAATGTTGGCGCAACGAGCGTTGAGAGAATTGTAATTATATAACTACATTGCCGCACAAAATTATGAGATAATAAAGTAGACAAGTTCGCAGACTCATAATACCTACGTTTAACTTGGTTTAGATGAATTGTTTTACTCGGTAATAACATTTTGATTAATGAAATTAATTTAAGTCATATTAAGAAAAAAAAAAAATTATTAATATATTCTGTGAGATTCGTTTGACATAAGACGGATAAAGCTCACTTTAAAAATCATTATATCAAATTTCGTTATTCGTAAATCCGGATAAATATAATTTCAAAATGCTTCAATACATTATTGGCTTAGAAATTACAATAATTAGAAATTACAAATGTTGTTAACAATGTTGTTAATATGCTTTTCTATATAATTCTATATAATATGATTATTGTTCGCTTATAAATATTCGTCAATTTTAATATTGCTTGAGCTTTAAACAAGTTATATATAGATATGTAATCATCTATATCCGAGTAGGTGAAAAGGTAGGTAAATTGTGTGATCAACGTCATTTAATAATCATCTGGGAAATACAAATTTATAAAACTTTTCACTTTGGTCTAAGCAGCCTTCGCACTTAATATAAACAATTTGTTTCAAGTTCTACAAAAATTATTACAAATAATTACAAATCAATCTGATATTTGTTCAATCTGTATGGCCGTAAAACTCTCATCGTTAATAACAAGCCAATTATAATCAATTATCCTTCGATCCAAATCATTAATTTATATTTTTTTTCAATTTCATTATTTATTATAAAGTCTGGTACTTATGTATATTGCACTTTTTGTTAAAACGATGATAATCTACTTTATCTATTTTCCATATCGTATACTTTAATATTTAGATAATTTATTACATAACAGTATAGAATTTATAATATTTTAATATATTTATGTCGTACAGATTATAAAGTTTGTACGAATAGAAATTATAGAATTTCATAATTATAATTTGCCTATGATAATAGATTTAATCTGCAAGGTGAAACATAAAAATAAAGCTTTTCTGGACTTTGTACTAATTTTTGTAAATCTTCTGCTTTAACTTCGGATAACCGGGCTTCTCTGGGAATAACTACAGTGCTCGTTTCCTTATTATTTTTACTATTATCGTCGTCTGTCGTTTGATATTGTTTTATTACACTCTGCACAATAGATCAATAAGTTTGATGTGAAAAGTTACTTTAATAATAATCTCCTAGATATATTAATCCTTACCTCCGCTTTTATCGCTTGTTCATTGTCCGTATTAACAATTCTAACTTGTTGTTGATGATATTGTGGCTGAACGATTGATTGCTGAACAACTTGGACATTTTCTTGCTTCCCAAGCGGTAGAGATTGTAAAATATATGGTTGAGTATTGTTTTGAGTAATGAAAATTATTGGTTTGTTTACAACATTATTATTAACATTAAATGCTTTTATAGAATCATCGGTGTTCGTTATTTTCTGGGTTACTTTAGCCGCACTTTTGTGTGGTTCAGAAGAAGGATGTAATTCTAGAAAAGAAATTAAAATATACAAATTATTTTTACGAAGCTATAAGATTGATATTTATATTTGGTAATTACATAGCTGTAATAAAGCAATGATTAAAAAGCTTTCATAATTATATTTCGACAAGTACAATAGAATAATTATGATTTGTAAAGACGAGCGATAGTGTTACGGCATTGCTTTGATGTATTTCACAATATTATGTATATCGGATAAGAATAGCGATTACATCGTTCTTAATAAGAAGGCATTTTCATTCGCAACTTTTAAACTACGTTTAACAAGTCATAGAAATAGTTGGGTTTCCACTCGATATGAAAATAATCCTGTTTGCCAGAAATTTACACGTGCGTAAGTAAATTCTCTAAACAAATCGATGATACTTAATAATTTGAAAAATAAACTTTAGATAGCAATGAAAATAAAAGTAAAAGTTATTAAATAATTATTTTGTTACCTCGTTAACATATCCATATGAAAGTGCAACGACTAATTAATCTTGAATTCATTTTATTTTCTGTTGCTGTATAAAGCTGTTAAATAGCACGAAAAGTAAAATGTATTTAACATTGTTCTTCCCTTACTTTTCAATATCGATCATATTACCATAAAATATAATTACAATATGTACACGTGTGTAAGAGTGAAATTTAAAGCCAATGTAAATTCAATCTAAGTTATGACTTACTCTTTTCTTTAGTCGGGCTTTCAGTTTTCGCTGATCGGTCAACATCTTTGTTCAACAAATTTCTATCTACGGGCCAAATGCCAGTATCACGAAAACAGCTTGCGGGAGTGGCAATTTTTAAAACTTTTAAAAATGCATTACCAAAATGTTGATATATTTCATTCATAGATACGATACAATTGGGATTCGAACGAATCCATTTCATAAGTTCCGAGGAATAAGTTTTACTTAAGCAGGTCATAAAATTCAACCGAATTGGCTGCAATTTATCACCAAATTGCGAGGGTACGCACATCACATTAACGCCATTTTCTTGAATTATTTCAAGTACTTGTAAATCCTTGAGATACGATCTATATCCATCCAGTATGAGTAGCACGGGAGAGTCTCTGGTGGCCTTGGAAAAGTGAATAAATTTTTTTAACCATTTTATGAATATGCTCAGATGCATTTGGCCCGTAGGATGGAATTCGGCCCATGCTCCGGGCGGTGCGCCTTTAACTAAGGTTTTGCACTTGTTAAGGCAGGGAAAGATCAGTAAGAGCGGCAGGTGATCGCCATTGGCGCAAAGACAAATTACAGCGGTAACCAATTTGTTTTGCTCAGCCGATGCAAACTCTTCTAATTCAATGCTCTCGATATTAGAATCGTATTTTGGTAGACAAGTTATAACGGTTTCATCGACGTTGTACACGTCGCTGGCTTTGAGATCGTATTTGTTAATCGTGCCTTCTAATAAGTCAAAAAATTGATACACCCTATTCTCGTTTAATTCTCGATTTTTTTCCGATAAGTGATCGACTCTTTTTAAGGTAACTCGGGGGTTCCTTTTCAAGAATCCACGATACCAGTCTTCGCCCGCAGTCTCGATGTCCCTATTGAAACGATGGGGAATCCTTAATTTTTCAGCTACTTGAAATGCCAAACGCCTTATATCTATTGTAGTTAATCCAACCAATTGATCCTCTAACATATTAATATATTGGCACAAAATTAACTCTTGCTCTTTGGTAAATACCGTTTGAAAATTTGATGCTAAAACAATAAAAGAATAATATTGAAATGGCACACATTATTATGATTACGTAGAAAAATGAAAAACTGCATTTCAAATGCCAATGCAATGATTTACGATTTTTCTTGCTTTTGCATAAAATTAATTATAAATGTCAGAATAATTGCCAACGTTTAAAGAACCTTTTGGATGCATAACTAAATCGATACTTTTATCAGGATCACACCGACATTGATGAATCTTTCTCGATAATGTTGCCTGAGGTACTTCATTCTCGATCGAAGCTTTTTTAATGCTGAGTCCTTGCTTTATAACGGCTTCGATTGCCATTTTCATAGCTTCCGTTGACCACATTCTTCTCCGACTTTTCTTTATATATTTCCTGACCATCGCACAATTTATTTTAAAGCAATCGAGTATGTTTATGTAATTAGCCTACCGACATAAATTTAACGAGGTTAGAATGCCGACTGTCTTGCCCACTATAGTCTCAATTTTGAAGTTTCGTATTCTTTTGTCATTTGACTATCATCATCCCTTCCCCCATTTTCCTTGCAAATTATCGCTAAATAGTATGGTGGTTGATTATACGTATACACGAATCAATCGTGCCTCTCATTTATTCTTTGGAATAAAAAAAATATTTAATTTATAAACTTTATTAAATTTTCAATACATTATCATTATTGTTAAATTCACGATAAAATTACAATTCTAATTGGATATGATTACGTATGAAGTGAAGAGAATAATTTTCATGCTATAAATAATATTCTTTCAATAATTACAATAATTTATAAGTTATAATGAAATACATTTTAATTTAATCAATAAAAATAATCGTAGTTTTTTTCCTCGAGTTAAATTATTTGGTGGCCCTGAAAAGGGCCGATGAAATGATGTTTTTATCGTTTTTGCTGTCCAATGCTCCGGGACTACCAAAAAAAAAAAATGAAAAGAAAAACCACAGGCATTTACTTCGAGCTGGTGTACTTGGTGACGGCTTTGGTGCCCTCGCTGACGGCGTGCTTGGCCAGCTCACCGGGAAGCAGCAGCCTCACGGCCGTCTGGATCTCCCGGGACGTGATGGTCGAGCGTTTGTTGTAATGAGCGAGACGCGAAGCCTCGGCGGCGATACGCTCGAAGATGTCGTTCACGAAGCTGTTCATAATGCTCATGGCTTTGCTCGACACACCAGTGTCCGGGTGTACCTGCTTCAGCACCTTGTAGATGTAGATTGCGTAGCTCTCCTTCCTGCGCTTCTTTCTGTTCTTCTTGTCGCCCTTGGTGATGTTCTTCTGGGCCTTGCCCGACTTCTTCACTGCCTTGCCGCTCGCTTTGGGTGCCATTATACACGTACAGATAGCTTTATTCTCAAAGAGAATCTAACCGTCCAAACATAGCAATTCTCTTTTATGTATAAATGCTCGAGTCATGCCGCACCAATCAGGCTACGAATAATACAAGTAGTGGGGATAGTACGCTCTGATTGGTGCGGTGTAGCTCTGCTGTTAAAAAAAAATCGATATCTGCATTAGTCCCGAGTTTCGTTATCCCCACCAGAAAGATAATCGACGTTTCATTGGTGCGATTATGCTCGATCAATGTCCTACATATTTGATGCTTGGAAGAACGAACGCTTATTAGCTTTTTCTCTTTTGCGTTTACATCGGTCGATACGGACCAACGAGAAGCATGTCTGGACGCGGTAAAGGTGGTGGTAAGGTCAAGGGAAAGTCAAAGACCCGTTCCAATAGAGCCGGACTCCAGTTCCCCGTAGGACGTATTCACCGTCTTTTGCGTAAGGGCAATTACGCCGAGCGCGTTGGTGCCGGTGCTCCGGTCTACCTCGCAGCCGTCATGGAACTCCTTGCGGCTGAGGTCCTCGAGTTGGCAGGCAATGCCGCCCGGGACAACAAAAAGACCCGTATCATTCCCCGTCATCTCCAGCTGGCCATCCGCAATGACGAGGAGCTCAACAAATTACTCTCGGGAGTGACCATCGCCCAGGGTGGAGTACTGCCCAACATCCAGGCCGTTCTCCTGCCCAAGAAGACCGAGAAGAAGGCGTAAATCACTAGTTACGCAAAACCACGAAAATACTGTTTATACCTATCGGCCCTTTTCAGGGCCACCAATTATTTAAAAAACGTATTGAAACGAATATTTATCAAATTTATCGAAAGAGAGCATAAAATGTAATTTCCATAACATATAATAGAAGATAAGAACGATAATAAATGCATAAATGACTATTAGCATTGCTAAATATATATATATATATATATATGCAATATTTAAACAGCACAGGACGTTATTTTCAGGTATATATATATAGACGCGCGCGCGCGTGTGTTTGTGTTACGTATACGAATAAAGATTGTAAATTTCCTCCTTCAAATGCGATTATTTTGTTTATTTGCTTGGAAGAGTGTTACAGATAAGTTGTTAAAGCAACATAACCTAGTCGGTAAGGGGCAGAATTACAGTAACTGGGTAGGCGAAAGAGTCAAGTCAAGGTCAGATTCGCGAGTACCGACGATGCTTGCGACGTCGGACGCGAAGATGACAGGGGAGGCGAAGCGCGAGGTCCTGCGGGTATTTGATCGGGCGGTAACGTCGGTATTACCAGGCGTCCTGATCAACACCAAGGTCAAGCTCGTGGATTGCGCGTTCCTCTTGATCGACGGCGTCCGTTACCCGATCACCAAGCACGTGTACGTGGTGGGCTTCGGGAAGGCTGTCGCGGGTATGGCATACGCGATGGAGCGGATCCTCGATGACAAACTGGTGCGAGGCATAGTGTCGGTGCCCCGGCAGCCCTACCGTAAGTCCGCGCCCCCCGAGTTCGAGGACCTGCGCGAGATGACGGAGAAGCAGCTGCAGGAGCTCCAGATGCTGAAACGATCGCGGAAAATTGAGTACCTCGAGGGCGGCTCCGGTAATCAGCCGGACGATGACTCGGTCGCCAGCACAAAAAAAATCGTCGCCCTAGCCGAGGGCCTCGGTCGCAAGGACACCCTCGTCGTTCTCATCTCGGGGGGTGGCTCGGCCCTCCTCTCCCTCCCGAAGAAGCCACTGACGAGTGCCGGGAAGCGCGACCTCTGCATGAGACTGCAGAACGCGGGTGCCAGTATCACGGAATTAAACCACGTAAGGAAGCGGCTGTCGGTGGTGAAAGCTGGCGGACTCGCCAGAATTGCGTATCCGGCCAAGGTCATTGCTCTCGTGCTCTCGGACATTGTGCGCGACCCCATCGAGTTCATTGCCAGCGGGCCCACTTGTCCTTTCGTCTCAGGTGATTATTTTTACTACCTCCGTTCGCGAAACAATTAACAATTGCCCCACCCCCGCACGTCCTTCTCGCCCTCACTCTTCGACTTTTTTCAATGTTCGCGTCCTAACGGTTTTTACCTACTGGCCGCCAATGTCCAGCGTACGAATAATAAAAAAATACCCGTTAATTAATCGCTATTAGGCCGTGTCCGCGCGCGCGCGTATGTGTGTGTGCAAGTACATAAATTTGTGCTACGCGCTAATTCATTTTATTCGCTAGGATTGAATGTCAACGTGTGAACTTATTTTATAAATAGCAAAATTGAAATCGAAATGCATTGAACGACGTCTTCGCGTCACGTTAATTCCAATCATACACGACATTCATTAGTCTGTCAAACAATATTATAACGTATACGTCTCTCTCTCTCTCTCTCTCTCAGTTCTTATTTTTTAAACCAGATAGTGCGGTAAACGATGCGATTGAGATTCTGAAGAAATACAATATCTATGATGGGGTTGGAAAGGAGGTGCAGGAGTTGCTGTCGAGCACCGATGAGGGCACCTTAAAAGAGGAAGCAATGATAGAGGATGGAAAATTTAAGCACGTAACGAATATATTGATTGGGAACAATTTAGTGGCATTGAAAGCTGCGGAGGAGGCATCCAGACGTTTTGACTTGGCAAGTGTCATTCTATCAAATACAGTGGAGGGTGACGTTAAGGAAGTTAGTTATGCTTATGCAAAATTCACAAGATCGGTTTGTCATATTTTGGAAAGAAATTTTTGCAACAAATTGGAATTTGTCGACGAGGTGTTGCAAAAGAACGTTGGAGTATTGGATATTGCTGTTGAGAAGCTCGGTGAAACATTTGATAGATTGGTAGAGGTGGCGAAGGGCAAGAGTGCGTTGTTGCTCTTTGGTGGCGAGCCAACAGTTACCGTGCAAGGAGATGGCAAAGGTGGAAGAAACCAAGAGCTTGCCCTTCGTTTTTCTTTGGACTGGCTCTCAGAGATTTCCAAGGATCCCGTGTTAATAAATTATTTTGTCCTCTTTCTTAGCGTTGGTACGGACGGTCAAGATGGACCAACCGATGCTGCTGGTGCTTTTGGAGAACCTGCTTTTCGACCAAAGATGATGAGCGTTCGTCAAGATCTCTTGGAACGAAAGGACCTGACGCTCGACCCAGACATATTAAAATCGTTAAAGTACAAAATTGAGCAAATAGAGAGAATGTTGCCAGAGAGGGTTTTAAAGAGAAACGACAGTAATACATTTTATTCAAAATTTGTCAATGGTAAGTATCTGGTGAGAACCGGCCTTACCGGTACAAATGTGATGGACTTGAATTTCATTTATGTGAGAAAGAGGGAGTGCGAATGCAACGTTCAAAGAGCAACTTTTGTCTGTGATTATTTACAGCCTAAAATTGGCGAAGATCCAATCTTTGTGTTCGACAAAGTTGCTTAAGCTACTTTGAAACTTTTAACAAAAATCATGGACTGATATAAAGACAAAGCACTATATTTTTTGATATTTTATTGTTATGTAACATATTCACATTGTTGTTAAATAAATCTTTTATTAAATAATTTCATGCTCATTCGCATGTTATAGATTTTATAAAATTTGCTTGCATCTTGAAACACAACTACATTTTTATTCAACGCATTTTATCAAACATTTTGTCACATGCATTCGGAACATTATTCTCTTTTTATTTCTCTTTAGTGGTACGCTGTTCGACATGTGCAACAACACATATCGATAGCAGAACTTTTTTAAATTCATACAATGATATTTCATAACCATTATTAAGCTTATCCTGCAAACTTAATTATGTTTATTTATTTATAATGCGTGTCATGGGACGGACACGGGGCTCGGAATAAATCTGACTTGAGCGATGACAAATGATTCATTAAATATACTGATTCGATGACAGTTCGCGATACCTTAAATTCTTATGTGACCAGTAATAAAATGATAAACTTAATATTGGAATTTGGTTTTATATGACAATGCAATAGGTATTGTCAAGTAGAGCAGGTACACGACTTCTAGAGGATAAATTCCATAACTTCATTAAATATGCGTATAATCTTATCGTTTAAATATTTGTCTCAGACTTATGTAAAATTGTCATTTTAAAACTTATTTCAATCGATAATAAATTATTCGTCTCTCGGTGAATTAAAATATCTTTATATTGGCGTAAAAAATAATGTATATTAAAGCTCCTTCATTGCATTACTTAAAATTAGCAATATATAAGAGACTTGTAATCTTAATGACTCTTAAAATACGTTGAATAGCTTTAATTATTCAAAAATAAATAGTCGTAATGTAAGTAAAAACTTTTGTATCGTAAAGGAATCTTAAAGATCCCAACTAAAAAGATGATGCTTCACAAGCATATCACGCACTCCATCTTTCAATGGCTGCGATTGCTCTTTCTTAGGGGGCAATTCCCAATCTGGATTCAAGTTAAATGCAAATTGGCCGAGTGTGCGAAGCTCGCACTTAATCTGTACCCAACCAGGGCTATTTACAAAACTCCATGGGTAATACCTGAAAACAATTAATTAAATATTAATTTCACTTATTTCAACAACTTTATTTACATAATTTAAATAAATAATTTAAATCAAAATTAATAGCCATTATTTTAATGACAAATATTCAGTTTGAAATTATCCTTTTAACCTCTATTAATTATAGATAAATAAAGGCAGGATTTTAGTATTGTAATCAAAGTACGTTGAAGCTTCATTAATCTAGCTGTATGGGGACATTGACATTATCGATAAATTATATTCGAAGCAAATCTTATGATTCGCTATAAATGTTATAGTCGTAAATGCGCGTTAATCGAATATCGCAAATATCAATGACTAATCGATTGTTTTACCACTTTTGTACGATTTCCACACACGAGCACAAAACCTCTAGCCACAAGTGTAATACTTGTTCGTTCAGTCCAAGGCAAACGAGCGAACGCAATTTTACATCCATTTGAGCATGAACATTGTCGTGCGTTAAATTAACAGACTGAACACAACGGTATAAAAGCTGCCAAAATATAAAGGTATTAATTTAATTTAATTTAATTTATTATCCCTGATAATGATTTTGAATTTAATTTGAATTTAATGAAAGCGCACCTCTTCAGGAGTCAATACTTTCCCATCCTCGTCCAATCGATATGTTTTACAAAGTACAAGTCTACTATAAACCGAATTGAAGTCTTTTTCGACTTCTCTATTCGAAGCTTCCTCGATGAAAAGCCATGGATGACATGGACCACCTAAAAACGTAGGTCTCTTCATACCGTGCTCGAGAACAGATTTAATAGCTGGACATAATCCACCGCGCACAAGGTCCGTCACAATTTCGCTAATCGCATCGTCACCGGCGCAAGTGTACTGCTTACTCCGCTCGTCCAAAAGTTCGACAAACTTAGCAGGGAACCAGCCTTTAAACAAAGAACAACAACATTAATTTCTCGTTTCAGCATATGAATATTGTAGGGATTTGAAATTGAAACCTCGAAGTCCATTGAGCTCGCCAACCCAACAGTGCTCATCCTTTTCATTAATTATTGTGATAATGTCATTTTTCCGGAAACCGAGCTCATTAACGCTGTGCCTTTCGAAATCTAAAATTAAAGGGTGATTACTCTGTCTTTTAATCGCACACCTCCAGTCACGATTGTGTTAATTAAATAAATTTATACCCAATAATGCTTTGGCCCGTTTCTTGCGTATGCGAGAAACATTAATGTAATTGTCATGATCTTTTGCGTGACTTTCCATACTATAATCCGCTGATAGTGAAATGCCGCTAAGTTTTGGATCAAGATTTATAAAATGTCTCGCTACTTGTATCACTGCTTCTCTAAGATTAACTAAAATCTCTATAATACCAATGTAAAGTTAACCCTTTTAAAATTAATTCATAGTAGAGAGAGAGAGAGAGAAAAAAAAAATCAAATAACAATGCAACTTATTGAAAGACTTTTTATAAACAATATTTATAATTTTAAGGCTATTTATTACCTGTTTGTTTAATATTTTTGCACTTGATGTCATCTTCGGCATCATTGTTACCAAATAAAAATGTTTGCAGCATCGATTTATTACGTTTTACTTGTCTCCTACAGCAATAAAATTATGCACGTTTTATTCGATAATTATTAATAAAGGCATTAAATTTTTGTTCTGAGATTGTAAACAAAGTCTCGGTCACCTATTAAGATGCTGTTTTGGCAAATTTGGAACAGCGTCGGGATTTCCTATAAGGCCACCTTGATCAGCCATTAAATAAGCTAAATGTCTCCTTCGATGGGTCTCGATAAGATTATTTGTCAATATTTTACTAACTTCTAATGAAACTTCAATAAGTTGGTCCACATTAATCACATCCCCAGGAATATCCGATAAGGCATTAAATATTTCTGCAGAGTTCTCTAAAATCTTCAACTCTGACTCTATAATAAAATTAATTAACGTTTTATTTAACTTCTTAATTACCAATGTTTTTACTTTCACTGTATGATTCAATGTATATATATATATATATATATATATATATATATGAATATATATATTACACCTTTAAGTTTTAGCATTCCTAAAGTTACTTGAAATAGTACAATCGATCCATCATACAGGAATATGTCCCAAAGCCTCAATAAAATTTTCATGTGAACGACGGAGGCGAATAACGTTAGAAACCAATTTAGTGATATTAAACTAAGCTCAATATCATGTTGAACAAGTACATGGTCGATGTCAGGAAGATAATTAGATACTAATGTTCGCAAAACACGCTGATCTGCTTGTATTCCTAAGGAAGAAAAATGTATCTTGAAATGTTATCAAAACAGTTTTCGTAGATGAGAAACTAATTAAAGTCTAATTAAAGCCATACCTATAAGTGTTGCAGAATAATACGAAGCTGGAAGTAAATCCTCAACAATTGTAGCCATGATCCAAAAAGCATCCTCTTCTTCGAGTAAAAGAAGAAGAGAAGCTGCTATAGTTCCAGTTCCCTGGCAATAGCTGTAAAGTAATGTCTTAAAAAATTATGAGAATTTTAATAATACACAAGTTGTTAATGACAATTTGAAACTAGATGTTAAAGGAATCGGAAAAATCATGGATCCCAATAATAACATGTTGCTTTCGCTAATGTATGATACCTTTTTTAAGGATGCATTGCTTAAATTTATCTTCATAATTAATTAAGAAACATATTTTGCAAAGTTTAATTAGTTTGTTGAATATTCTTTCCAATTAAATTAATCGATATAATTGTTTTATGTTGATTTATTGTAATTTTGTATTAAATAACAATATTTGTTTTTATTTATGATATAAATCTAATTTAAATCTAATTTTGTTCTTTAAGAATGTAGTTTACAAATTAAATTTACAGCAAAGTTAATAAAAATTAATCTAACTGTTTTAAAACTATTATACCCGCGTGTTCTATTATACACAATAATTTAGTGTTTTTAATTCAATAATTTTCATAGCTTGAAATAACAATAATATTATGATTTATGATATTAATTATTATTTATAATAACTTTAAATCAAACTGGTAACACTTTAACTATACGCAACGCATTTTGTAAAATCTTATGCTTTTTACATTAAATTTTAAATATAATTCCTTACCCAATATCGGGATATAACCAGGCAAGACCTCGCATAACTCTTCGCAATCTAGGAATTCCAGTACTATGCAAATTGCTAAAGCAAGCATTAGATGGCATAATCCTTAATAAATCTTTTTCAATTTGCTTACTTGTCATTAATGCATCACTACTGGAAGCCTTGATAATATCTGTGTACGTAGTGTCACACGATATCTTTTTTTGAAGGGCTCCCGACATTCTCATCCATATTTGTGGCCGAAGAGAATGAGGAATTCCTTTAAGTACCATTTCTCTGAGTTTGTCGCTACGAATTAAACGATTATCAACTTGTTGCCATGTTAATTCGGATGCCTCTTTATTATGAGCAAATTCCAATAATCCTATCCACCTGAGTCTATTGGGTATAAAGATATTTTTTTATCACATAAATATTGTACGTCTTCATTCTCTTCAATTTATTAATATTTAATTTGTAAATATGTGTTTGATTTAATTATATATAATGACCTTTGTTGGGGATCTTCGATAAAAGGAATGTCAAGGAGTTTTTTCGAGCTCTCTTCAAGTTCGTTATCTTCGTCAATTTTGAAACCAAATTCATCGAATCTATACTCGAGTTGTAAGCTTGGGTCGTCGGGTTGACTAAGCTTTGCCAAGATATCTTGTGGCCACATTGAAGTAATCAATGCAGAAAATGGACCATCGGGCGGCGGTGAAAGCACATTATTGCCAAGTTTACAGCTACCCGCATCATACTCATCGTCCGACACGGTGGTTTCCAATTTTTTCTAAAATAAATACATTTAAAAAATTTTAATTTGTATCAAGACATAACGATTAATAATGGAAGATGAGATATAATATAAGCTATAAATTATTTAACAAGTAGAAGCTATAAAACGATTAAAAATAATAATATATGCCACTCATAAGTCAAGATCAATAAAAATATAAAGAACAAATAGTCTAATAAGTATAACAAAAGCCTATAAAACTAATGTAAAATGCTTTAGGAAAAATACAGAAAATGTTGTTTGGAATAATTTTTATTTAATTAATCAAATTAATATTTACATTATGATCTTCTTTCCCAACGTAACCTTCATGATCACGTACGTTGAACAGAGATTTGGCAATCTCCATCTTATAATACTTAATTTACACGAACCTTAGCGTACTTTCTAAGTACTTAAACGCGCTACATCGTTACATACTGTTGATAGCGATGAAAATTGCACGAAGCAGTGAAAAATTATCGAATAACTTATCGAGCGATGTTGACAGATGCCCGAGACTGTGAGACGACGGCATCGGAACTTTATGGTATGGATGCAGTAGAAAATAAATTGTACGTGTAGAGGTTAGAGGAGTGTGGGAGCGCGCACACACGCGCAAACACCGTGTTGCTTTCATTCGAACGCAGAAGCGAGGAAATGACAATTGATGTTATATATTTTTCGATAATATTAACACGTCTAGCGGATCGAAAATTAATATTTTGCATGAGTTAAGTAAAGTAAGTCAAAGGTGAAAAGAAGTTATGTAGAAATAATAACTAGCAATCATTTCATAATTAAACTTTGAAATTAATATTATTCGTCTTTATTGAGAAATATTGAAACGTATTTTTTTCAAATACTTTCTTAGCTCCATTAGAATGCGCCGCACTCAAGTTTATTTTAACTTTTGACTTTGAGTATTCATCCAGATTTAAACAAATTTCAATTTTACATCTATCTTTATTTTCAATATCAAAATTTGGAATATCGCCTATTGCAATATTATTTATATAAATTTACAAATTTATATAAATGCGAAATGGACGTAACTGTATCTACGACTCGCGATAACATCATTCAACTATGCAAAAGTATTTATCGAAATTATTACAAAAGAAAAGAAAAAAAAAACTCGAATAAAAGGCTTCGACTACGTAGATTAAAATAAAATCACAAATATAATAATAAAATTAATTTGTAAGCAGATATAAATAATGGAATACTTTATATAAATTGTCTATAAAATATTCAAAGTATTGGCATTCTAGAATTTCCAATATCTTTTAAATAATATTTATTATTATTATTATTATTATTATTATTATTATTATTATTATTATTATTATTATTACTATGAAATATGTTATTAACGAGATTTTTTAACGAAATAATTTTCTTCTTTTAAAAGTTATCCTAGCTTCTTTTAGAAACTATATTAAAAATAAAAATATTGAAAATTCAGCGATTATTATGAGAAAGAAAATAAAAGTGAAAAACGTAAAAAAACGAAATTTCAATTATCATAAAAATCAATGATAGTACATTGCTTATTATCATATTTAAAATAAATTTACACGATTTTTCTTATCGATAAAAAACATTTCTTTTCCAAGGACCAAAGAAATTTCATTTTAGAATAAAAAGAGTTTAAACCTCTTCTTCTCTCATTCCTATGTCATTTTTTAATTCCATATCTCCTTGCATCTTTATTTTTTTTTTTTTTTTTTTTTTTTTTTTTTTTTTTTGATTATTATTATTATTATTATTATTATTATTATCAAGCGATTGTCAAAAATTTATAACAAATTTAATTTACAATCTATCATCAACTATTATTGAATGAGTCATTAAATTAGTGCCAATCATTATTCATTAAAAGGATTAAGTATATTGGATTGTTATGTAATTCATACTAAAAATCATCGAAAGCCACATCTAATTAAAATATTGATATCATGGAAATATATTATCCTCGTTGGCTCTAATTGTAGTCGTTTTGCTAACAGACATTGTTAAAGTCGATTTAACGAGGACAGCTGAATAATTAAATGAAATGTTGATACAAGCTTAATATGGTTAAGAATTATTCGGTACTGAAATATCTATAGAAGATATCAATTTATTATTTATAAAGGTTAATAGCTGATAGATTGTTGCCCGGGATATCGATATAATATTTATTGCCTAATGTAATCGTTGTCATCGCTTTTTCGAACAATCAAACATGTTTAGAACGTAATGCACGTAAATAACAATAATATCAAACAGAGAACATTGCGCACAAAATTTTGCATCGCTTTGCCTAAATTGATGTTGAATTGTCTTACATCATCTCTTTTTATATAGTGTTTAATTTAATTTAATTTTTTTTATCAGTTTGTTTCATCATCAACCCCAAACGTCATTAATTTTATTATTTTTAATCAATTTTCTATTAACATTTAAATTAATTCGTACCAAGTGTGTTTTTCACATACGCAAAGCTTATTTAATGTTTTTTCATGTTATTTATTATACATATATATCTCTGATAAAAAACTTTTTTAAGAAATTTTAGATATCATTATGTCTACGTTGGTAATCTAATCTAATGAATATGTGTCACCTCAACAAATTCGATCACCATAATTTGCTTTGTAATCATTTACATGTTGTTATTTAGTTAAGTTTACCAGGAGAAAATATTTGATTGTACCAACGGCTTATATATTATCAACTTATATTTCAAACTTTACATTTATATAATATTTGATTATATTTCACGATTATACACGCAAATACTTCATAAATGTCGAATTGGTCGGTCGAAATTTACATATTAGATATTGCCAGAATCTATTTGTAATTGTAGAATACAGTTTATTTTATGAATGATTCATGCCGAGTAGTCGCATAAAATTTTATTTTATGTATAATATTGCAGTCTGAAAACTTAAAATTTTTTAATAACGTCGTATTAAAATTATGGTATATAAAACAATTGTTAGAAATTCTAAATCAATATTTTTATGTTTACGAAAGAAAATACGTAATGCAAAGTACTGTTTGGTTACTTTTTTTTTTTTTAATAACTAATAAACATGATTATGCGCAATAGAAGAATTCAAAAGGATATATTTCTTGCTTCTGTTAGTTTTCAGTAGTTCAGGCGTATCTAACATACACATAACTAGTAGCTGAAGGTATATAATTACTCCTTGTAATTATTATGTGCCATTGTTTCATAATCAAATTGAGATTCAATTTTTGAAATTGGCAAAATGATACAAACGCATACTGATAGTTCACAAAATAATAGTCTACGTAGCTTACATCCCAATAAGCATATTAATTTATAAATACATATTTTTATTTTAATACAAAACTTTTATACGCTAAAAGTGTCTTAAACAGGACAGTGATGAGGTTGTGATTATAACTACTAGTTTATTATTTATATGTATTACCCCTTTTATCCAATGCATTTAATTATATTTATGAGAACAAAAATGTTTATAGATTATTTTAATATGTTGATGATCGTTTATGATTAATTACACAAGTCAGGTCTATAAATAGCTTATAAGATTCTTGAACTTCTAATTGGTCCTTCAAATGTCTTGATTTTTCGGCTATCCTTTTTTATAACACGTAAAATAACAATATTAAAAAACATTATTAAATGGATTAGTCTTCTAAAACGTTAAAAATTATCTACTGAAGCAGTTAAATTTCATATTTACTCTAATAAACGAAAACTTACCAGTACGAAAAATTTCAAACGAAAGCATCATTTTATAAAAATAAAATACTGTTGATATATTAAAAAAAAACGCAATTTATTTAATTAAAAAAACATTAACAAAATTCAAAATTATTTACATAAATTATGTATTACAATATCTTATAAATAATTGTAATTTTAATGGGATGCATTTTTCTTCTATCGTTATGTTGTTTACCATCATTACTTCTTCTAGTATCAAGAGATATTGATTGAACTTACGCAACAACTAGTTTGTCCGCCTTTAATGATTTTTAAAATTGTAACTTTACGTATAGACAGTGTATTCGGTAAGGGTTCGCATATACAAGTTTTCTTTAAAAATATTACATTATAAATAAAACGTACAGACTATTGATGTAAGAAATAGCTTAAGGCAACTATATGTATTTTAGTGAAATAGTGCTTTTTAAAATTTACATCCAATGTCCGAATTATAGCTATCAGAGCTATTATTATTTAAAGATTATGTCGTAAAAACAACTTTTACATATTTAAACAATAAATTAAGTAAGATAAGTTTTTTTTTTAAGTAAGCTCGTTAAATAATTCGAAATCGAAATAATATATCAATTTGTATAAATTCAATAAATTTTAATAATATGCAATGGCTATAGTATTTGGATAAGTTTTTAGTAAATATTTTTGATATTAAAAAGAAGTTTAATCGCCTTAATATATTTACGTATATGCGTGTAACCGTATTGTCTTAAATAAAACATTATTATGAAGAAATGACAAAATATTTGTCATTATATCAACTATATGGCTATCAAATTTTACCACTAACAAATTCAATTTTTTAATTGCTAAATAATGATTTAAAAAAAAAAAACTGCCTATTATAAGAAATTTGTTTCGGGTTCATAAGATATACAACTATGTAAAGTGATAATTTAATATATAATTTCGGTCAGCTGAGTTTCGTAAGAAAAGCTACTGAAAAAATCTAAACTTCTACGATCCTCTGATTTTGCTGCTAAAATTCTGCTGACGAGTCGATAATTCCAAAATCACGCTTTATCTGGCGTCTCATAAAATTCGTTTCTAAAAGTGACTGTTTACAATCATTACGTATACATAATATATAGTAAATAGTCATTAAATAAACAAATAAACATAAAGCTCTTTACCGTGAGTATCCTTTAGCACGAAAATGTTAGAAGTATCATGTGCTTGAAGTATTCGATGCTTGTTAGGCGGATAATAATAAAAGCCTTTGCGGGAGTCAAGAACAACAGATCTGCCTGCGGTTCTCGACTTTAAGCAGATTATTTTTTGTTACTCTTTATGTGGTTTTTTACACGTCGCCATCGATTTCGTATTATTTTTCTATTTAATATCATTTTCTTTCTATCATTCTAATATTCCACTATTTTATGATAATATTCATAAACCAACCCTTAAATGATAAGCTATTAATTGTAATTATTTTATATAAGATTTTCAAATATTACTCTTTCGATTCGATAAAAATTGCCAGTGTACAGTTGTTATCGTAGGAGTTTAACGCCTATTATAGAATTGAACAACGTGTAATAATAATATTCTAATAGCGATCGTATATTCGAAATTTTAAAGAAAAAAAGAATCTCGATTGAATAATAATAATAATTTTCTCAAGCTTCGACGACCGCATGAAGCGAGAATAAAATCGTCATACATCAACAATGATTGTGTGTAAGTGTCCTAAGTATATTTATATAGATAGTCCTCAAAATAGCAATATGGCATGTACAAAAAAAAAAAAAAAAAAAA